GCACTCCAGTCTGGGCAACAGAGTGAGACTCCAACTCAAAAAAAAAAAAAAGAAAAAAAGTCAGAATCCCACTCTGTAGCCCAGGTTGGAGTTCAGGGGCACAATCACAGTTCACTGCAGCCTTGATCACCTGGGCTCAGGTGATCCTCCTGCTTCAGCCTCCAGAGTAGTTGGGACTACAAGGCATGTATCACCACACCCACCTAATTAAAATTTTTTTTTTGTAGAGACAGGGTCTTGTTATACCTAACCCTGAATTGTACCACATATCTTTAAAATAAAATTTAAAAAGCATATATATTTTTTGTAGAGGCAGGGTCTTGCTACGTTGCTCAGACTGGTCTTGAACTCATGGGCTCAAGTGATCTTCCTGCGTCGGCCTCCCAAAGTGTTGGGATGACAGGTGTGAGCCACAGCACCCAGCCACCTCTCTGAAATCTCAAAACACTTGAGTCTTGAAACTCATCTCTTGTAAAGGATTCAAAGAAGAAACCGTGGACGTGAATAAGTGTCCCTCATGTGACAAAGCCGGCACTGAATGCAGCGAGCTTGTGTGTCGTCCTATGGTGAGAGGAGCCCACCCCAGTTCCAAAACCAGTTTTCTTTCTACTCCAGATCCAAGCCGGCCCCTCCGAGCCGCTCCCAGGGCTGACACTCCAGCCTCTGAGCCCAAGTGGCCGAGGCCTCCAGCCTCCCCCCTCCACCCACCAACTGCTTGCCCGAAATGCCCTGGAGGCGTGAGACCCACCGACAATCCTTCTCGAATTCCTTGGACTCGTCAGTGCAGTGGAAGAATTTGCCCTTGAAGAGCTGCACAGCCACCACGGCAAAAATGAACATGAACAGCATGTAGACGATGAGGATGTTGAAGACGTTTTTGAGCGAGTTCACCACACAGTCGAACACGGCCTGGGGGTGGGGACGAGAGGGCATGAGAGGCGGGACCGCAGCCCCCCCCCCCCCCCGCCTCGGGAAGCTCCCCACGCCACGGTGCCGTGGTGTCGCACCATCCCATAGACAGAGTTGTGAGCCAAGCTCCTCAGGAATGGCCAGCCGGCGCTGAGAGGCATCGGGATCATTCAGTCCTGCATTTTTAGGCATCGAAGACCCCCAAACTCAACCCCTGGGACAATAAGGCCACGTCTCTGGCTCTCTCCAAGCCAGCTCAAGGCTCTTCAGGGCAAGATCCTCACTAGAGAGATTATTTCCTTTTTTTTCATCTTAGAGACAGGCTCTTGCTCTGTCGCCCAAGCAGGAGTGCGGTGGTGTGATCACAGCTCAATCTCCTGGGATCAAGTGATCCTACTGCCTCAGCCTCCCAAGTACCTAAAACTAATGGCACCTGCTCAAACATCCAGCTAATTTCTTTGGTTGTTATTATTATTGTTATTATTTTGTAGAGACAAGGGCTCGCTGTGTTGCCCAGGCTGGCCTTGAACTCCTGGCCTCAAGTGATCCTCAGCCTACCAAGTAGCTGGAATCATAAGTGCACATTCTCATACCCAGCTAATTTGTTTGGTGGTTGTTATTATTACTATTATTATTATTTTGAGTTGGAGTCTCACTGACACCCAGGTTGGAACGCAGTGGCAAGCTCACGGCCACCGCAGACTCAATCTGCTGGGCTCAGGAGATCCTCCTCCTCAGTCTTCCAAGGAGCTGGAACCACAGGCGTGTGCCATCATGCCTGGCTAATTTTTTTGACTTATTGTAGAGATGAGGTCTTGCCAAGTTGCCCAGGC